TATATATATATATATATATATATATATATATATGTGTGTGTGTGTGTGTGTGTGTGTGTGTTAACTACAAAAAACACAACAGTGAATTAAAAACTTAATTACACAAAATATGCTATTCCTATTATAAAGCTCACATTCCTTCCACAGCTTTATTTTGCAAAAACTATTAAACATTTCCATTCACTTCTATTTCTTTGCATTATCTATAAGGATAGGTTTCTAAAGTCAACACACACACAATGTATATTTCCTTCTGGAAGCATATCAAACCAGTTTAATGCTTTTAGATAAATATAAGTATATAATAAAACCTGAGCTTAGTTAGACAAATTAATATTCCTTATATATTATTATTAATCTTATCCTAATCCAAACATAACATACAAATTAAATTATTTTCAATTGTTACAAAATTCATCTACCAATAGTCACACTCATGTTCACATGCATCTCCGATCGAAAAAACATTCTGTATTTCTCTTTTTATCTAAAATGTTACAAAAAGGTCCTAACACAGTCATCATCCAAAATTCTTAAAGGAAATTTAGAAGTTTCACAGTAAAACTTTGACAGCTAAACAGGTAATTCAAGCTACATTTCACTGGATTGACTATGTTGGATGAGAACAGTGAGAAACAGCTTTTAATTTCATCGCTACTGAGCTTAGCTATATTAAAGCTGTCAATAACAAAGGTCAAGGTTATGTGGAAAGATAACTCCTATAATCCATTGAAGCTTTCTGAAATTATGTCAACTTAAGGCAATTATCTTTAAATATCAATAATCTACCAACATAGAAATGTCACTAGCAGGGCAAGTTTCAGGTTTTCTGTGGCCCTGGTGCAGAGACTTACAAGGAGCTCCTTAAATGTTAGTTCAGTTTTATAGGAAATAGGTAATATGTTTTAGAAAAATTAACTACCGAATTTGGCAAAAATAGCAATTCTATACGATATATTAAAAACATGAATACTGAAAGTTTTTGGGAGCCCTGAGGCAGTGCACCCTTTTCACATACATATACTCCCCAGCACCTGTATATTAGTCACATAGCAACAACACTAAGCTACAATTAATTTTCACTAGACTCTGAAAGATAATAAACCAAGTATTACTCCAATATGTTAAATGATTTATGAAAAAATTATCATAAACAAACAAAGAAACAAAATAAAAATTCTCTCAAGCAATTGAATTCAATCATTTTATGTTATTATATAAAGAAAATATTTTTCAGAGAGGCACAAATAACATACAATCTCAGTTTCTAAACTCCCTTATGCAGCCATGTTATTACTAACCTGAATAACATTTGGTGTTCTTAAACCAACTAGATTTGAAACATTAAAAGCAGATGATGGCCACCAGGTGGCAACTCCACTTTGTGTGATAATCTGACCCACCATGTGACCTTGCATAACTTGTCCAGAAGACAGCTGCACATTTTGGATAGTCATGGGCTGACCACAAGTTACCATAGCTGTACTAGGTGTACAAGATGGAACAGTGATACCAGAGGCTTCCGTCGATGTTGTAGAGACTGGATTTGAAGAGGCTGCATTTTGAGTTAAGTGAAGCACTTGAATAGGAGTTCCCATCTGGACTTGTTGCAGATGGCCTTGTGAAACAAGCTGATGAAAAAAAATAGAGACTTTTGAAATAATATGCAATACTATGAACAATATTTTACTTTTATGACAATTATAAATACTCTAATATTGTCTAAGTGGTGAAATGATGCAATTTTTTTTTTTTTTACATTAAAACAACTTCAGTTTATTACACAAGTCATTATACAAAATACTGTGCCTTATAAGACACCTTTATATTAAACCCGAATTTGCTGCAGAATATATCAATAAGTAAACATGTTTTTATTTTCTAGATCCTAGAATAAACAACTTTCTTATATTCCATTATAGCATCCTTTTATTGCATTGAACTAAAAAAATCTAAAAATATTTCTAACAAGAGATATGTTTCAGTTTAAATCATGAATTAAAAAAGGATTGTTGCATATGTAAAGTCGTGAGGTTTTCTTTGGAACAAAAATCATTGTTCAAGCAAACACAAACAAAACAACACCGAAAAGTTAAAAACTGAACTATCAGTTAAAACTTTGTAATTGATTTCATAAACAACAGAGGAGAGTAATTTTCAAGATGGTAGAACATATCTTCTTACTATGGACAATAGAGATAGGCAATTAATGGTATTTGCTAATCAATTAATGCATGCTCCCTACACACCCCCTGTACAAGAAAACAAAAAACAACAACAAAAAAAAGAGATGAATGTTAGCTACACAACTTTTCTAAACACTGCACTATTTTATCATGGTACTACTCTTCTTACAAAAAACACATTTTTGTCAAAAAAATTATTTTGCCACATTTTTAAAGATACTATGGATAATTTTTACTTGGCAAATGAATTGCTAATGTTGACTAAATACCACACCACAGTCACCATTATGTTTGTTTTTAAAATATGTAGTAATCCCACATTGATCTTCTGTAAATCAAATAAATTGATAATTAAATAATGAAGACATGTTTTACTATCACCAATATAGGTAATAATGTTTTTATTACCACAAGTGTAATTAGAAATAATTAAGTAGCCAGTAAGCCAATTCATTTATATATGTTGTTTGAATATAATAAATATAAAAATCATATTCAATAAAGATACGAGTCATCAGAATATTCTGGGGTTGCCTACCAGTTGCCTACCTAAGCAGTTAACTTATCTGATTTGATGACTGTTTTATTTTAACTGGTGAACATTGTAAAAAAGAAACTCATGTTTACAAACATTGCAACTCAATATATATTAAAAAGTAAAAACACTAATTTTGAACAAAAAACAAATACTAACAAAACACCTTTATTAAGCCTTCAGCAATCTTGAGTCATATGACTTCTTTGCTCCATACTATATATTATATACAAATAAATAGCTTACAAACTATTGATTACATTACTTGTTAATAGGCCATTAAATCAGCACTATAAAACAATAATAAATTAAATATCTCATTACTGTTATCTGTCCAGGTTGTCAGTTTATTGTCATAACAGATAACATCTATGGTAATAGCACCCAAATGCATTGTGGATATCTCATCTATCAGACAAAATCCAAACACCAATGTCAATCTCATCAGCTGTCATGGAAAAATCATAAAAAATCAATCAAATAAGGGTATGAAGCTGAGTGCTTACACCCACAACGTTTCAGTTTCTACTACCTTTCGATGTCTATAGCCAGTTGTGGGAAGGCAGTTACCCTTAAATTTATTAAAGTAGAAATTAATTGAAATAAAGCCACCATAATATTTCTAATAATTAAACTCCCAACCTCCACCCTTACAAAAATATATTAAATAGAACTAAATTGGAACTATACCCCTACCTTAAAAGTTCTCGTATAGTTTTTGATTTTCCATGATGGCTGATTAGATTGACATCGGTGTTTGGATTTTGTCTGATGGATGGGTAATCCCTAACGCATTTGAGTGCTATTACCACAGACATTATCTGTTGTGACAATAAGTTGACAACCAGGACCGGTAACAGTAATGTGATATATAACTGTGTCTAGGAACCTGATAACAAAACCTTTGTACATTTGTTACTTGTAATAGAGTTTCCTATGTTACCCATTCAACCAATCCCTAAACTGTATTGACTTACCTTATCTCAGATTATCTAATGTCTTATGATTAAAGCTAATTTCTGTAGCTTTCGTATAGATATAATTTAACAGCAATTCTTTCACAATTTACAAGTGAAAAGGAACTGAAAAGAACTTATAAAAAAAAAATATCTGAAACCTACATATCTATTATATTATGATGTAATAGTCTAATTCTTGCTCTATCCAATCATATTTAAACTTTCTTTAGAGCTGTTTTCAAAGCTGTGTTTCATTAGTAAAGGAATAAAACATGTATGGCACCATAACAAGGTTTCTATACAAAAACTAAGGGAGGGGTTAAAAAAAAATCAAGAAATGGATAATATATTCCCAAGGAGTGATTGGTCTTTAGTAAAAATAGTTATTCATGGAGATGGACATAAAAATTATAAAAAAAGAATTGGCAAGTGGGTTGTTTTGTTTACAGGCAAAAACTCTTTACATCTGTGCAAAAATGAAAATTTGAATTTTATTTTCTTCATTAATTATACTAAATAAATGCCAGAAAATGACAAAATATCAATTTTAAAATATTTCTGACCTAAAGTTGTTGAAATATTGTTAGAATTAACAAACAAACTGACTTCAATATTGAATATTTTTCCAAAAGTGATTTGAATATTGGAATAAAAAAAGGTCCTGAATTCCAACTTTAAATAACAGAGGCAATGAATTTTGGCTTCAGAAACATGGATACATACTTTTGTTGTTTTTGGTTACAACTTATAAACTTGTGAAATTGTTTGTCTGCCATTAGTTTAAATGTTTTAAACATTTATAGAATTGTAGGACATGTAAGTGAGTGTGTTACATTTAATTTGTTTTTTATGTTTTGGTGGGTAAGGCATTTAATAGGCAAAGAACATTTTTTTCACCTTGCTTTTTGCATGCTTTTAAAAAGTGAAAATTTAGTGGTGAATGATAAAAAAAAAGCTTATTGCAACTTTACATAAGACCCAAGATAAGCCATGCAATACTGATCCCCCTGACTACAAAGAATATATAGAGACAATGGGGAGAGGCTTGGGTTTTCACAGGAATGTAGAACTAAAGGCGACTTGATTTAGGTGTTTAAATTATGTTATTAGGGGTGTGAACAATCTTCCTAAAAGATGTCAGTTTGAGTAGGAAAATGAAAAAGTTGGAAATGCAAAATAACATACAAAGAGTAATTTGTTTAATCACTGGAAGCCTAGCTGTAGACATTTTACTTTGAAAAATTCTTATCATATTTTATTAAAATTATAGACTAGTAAAATGGTTTAGCTAATGATAATGGCAAATGCTGTTACAAAAAAAATGAATGTGTAAGGTTTTAAAGCTTCAATTTAATGTTTTGATTTATGGAATGATAACCTCCATGGGCAGAATTTTCTTTTGTCAACTTGAGTCTGAGATTCTTACATTTTAAAAATGGTCTTTGTATCTCTAGGACTGAGGTTGCAAAACTGTACATTTCGAAATAATACAAGAAAGGCTTCCACGTCAATGAACTGTTGAATTGCCACCACTAGCACATACTCTAATAATTTTATACTTGCTAATGTTATATTCCTACGTGCTTAATACTGAGACAACACTATTACAGTTTATATTATCTATATATATAATTAACAGGCTTATATTTATTTGTACAAAAATATGTAGGAAGATGGCAACGTTTTTTGTTTAGAATGTCTACACTCTACAGCACAGTAAGCGTAGGAAATAAATAAATACAACAAATTGTTTGTGAATCTTTGACACTATAATGATTCCTGGCATATGCTTACAAGTGGCCTAGTTTCAACAGTTTCCGAGTAGTTAAAAACATTACTTTGATTTCCTTTTAGACAAAAGTTAACGTGAAATTAATAGAAAACAGCATCAGATTAGTGATTACTCACGTTTGTTTTTATCTAATTATATTACCTGAGCCATCTGAGTCGAAATTTGTCCCGCAGATAACGGATTCATGACCTGTGTTGGGTGTCCTGCCGTGAACATGTTTCCTCCTCCGACGGGTTGTATAACCTGAACAGGCAAATGAATAGTCTGTAATGCTGTCTGGCCTGCTGCTGTTGATACAGGAATCTGGACCGGAATGGTCTGTTGCACCGTGCCCATAGGAAATTGAAAACCCTGAAGCATATTTCCTTGACGGATGGCCATATTTTGCCCACCAAGTGGCGAAAAAGTAACATTATTTTGAAGTAATGTTCCACAGTTATTTTGCAGTGCCATTGAAGATGGTGTTTGCACATTTTGAGCACGAATAAAAGTTTGTATATTTGGAGAAACGACAGTTTGGTTTTTTTCACTGATCTTATAAGGTTGTGTCTGTCCTGTAGCCACTTGATTAAAGTTGCCAGGGAAGAAAATAGCTCCTTGTCCATCAATCTGCAAATTCGTGAGTTGGTCTGCAGAAATAACACTGTACGCAACATTTCCACATGTTTGAGGATGGGCTACGATTGTTTGTGCGCCTTGAGGAAATAGCTGACCGTTAACAGAAACCACAGGCACTCCAGCTTGTGCACTGGGAGTTCCTAACGAGACAGACGATGGAAATGATTTGATTCCAGCTGCAGAGACTGTAACAGAAGCGGGCGGAGGCGACTGTCCATTCACTCTCGCGACTTGCGTCACAGTACCGTCGGGATGCAACACTCCTACAGCTTGAGATTGAACCGGTATGAAATAAGCTGGTCCAGCTGCATTTCCAGTTATTTCTCCAGTCTGTAAGACCTGAGTTTGACCTACTACTTTAACGACAGGTGATCCCTGGGTACCACCCTCATCGACTGGTGACCCTATCTTGCTGCATGTAGCGGCCAAAAGCGCCAGCGGGGACGGCTGGATTTCCTACATAGGCGGAGTTATAAAAGAAAAGGGGGTGTGAGTGAGAACAAAAATAACAATTTCGTAAACATTATTATCATCTTATCATGTCATAATCTTATAAAAAAAAACATACCTGCGAAGCACTACTATTTGATACTATGTAATCTTGCTGTTGCTTTCTGACAGCAACTGTAGACATTCTGTGAAGTTTCACTTTAAATGTTTGATACAAATGGGAAGCGCGCCAATACACGATAAACCAAGATGGCGACCATTCACAACTGCAATAAAGCCGCTAATTTTCATGAGACGTACCAGTGTGAGCTACATTTTTATCCCTCCGCGATATTGAAAGGTCTCAAACTTTTAAGCTATGTATATCATTTTCTGTTTGCAAAATGAAAAATGCATAAGTTTATTTATTTCTGTACATTAAATAACTTCTGCTATCTTGAACTTTATTTCTTTTATATACTTATCGAATAACATACCATAGTGGAGGGATATAATATATAAGAAGAAATACCAAGGCTCTAGCGGTCATCGCAGTAGGCGTGACTAGCAGGCGGAACACAAGAGAATGCAACCCTAAACATCACCGCCCTTTTAACTAAGAAACTAATACCCAAATACGGCAACTATCATAAGACTGGGAGAAATATTTATGACTCTCACCTTTAATAAGTTCAGTTCACCCAACACTCATCTTACGTGGATTCATTTTTATTTATTTTTTATCTATCAAAATTTGAATGCATGATTGGATGCTACCTAAGAAGCTAATACAACCTAAGTAATTGCAATAACAAAAATATTACAAAGTCTTCTTTTTTTAATATACTTAAATCAGTATTTTAGTTTTTAAATTTAATATTTGTATTAATATTATGGTAACTAAAGTTGTTCCATAACTTTGTCCGAAATAAATATAAATACATTTATAAATACTTGTGATGAGTTCACTTTTTTAATCCGATAAAACTAAAATCATGTGGCATGATTCCTTAAAAATTGCCTTTTGATATCAATTTGAAATACACGTTTGAAACAAATCAACGCTCGTGCAGTATATTCTGTGATGCTGCACATTTATTTGGCGCAAACTTTTTCTTTTTGTCATTTGTATTTGAGTGACCCCAGTTTGCATAGCAGATATAAGACAGTGGTTTGTCTCTGAATAATAATCAATATGCACAGTTTATTTGAAGTTAAAATCTGTTGACAAACGACATGTGCAAACATTTATTGACTTAATACTCTTAGTCGCCAGTATTTGTTTTAATATTCAAGATGAATACTTAGTAGTCAGAATATCTCAACTATCATTCATGCATACAATATCTTTCGGGTATGTTATATCCAGGGTCTGACAACCATATGAATACTTTCTAGTGCTATAAACAACGTAAAACTACAATGAACAAACATTTTCCTATCTTACCAGGGCCGTACCAGGGGTAGTGTGAGCATTGCGCCCGCACAGAGCCCAACCCTTAAGGAGCGCGTATTTGCATCTCTGAAAACAATTAAAGAAAGCACACATTCTATAAGATTTTTTTAGGGGGAGTTGCAGAATTTATATGTCACACAGGGCACCTTTAACGATCACCTTACCCATTGTATGATTCGTTCGTATAAACTCAATCGTTTGTCATAGGCAATGTTAGATTGTCCCGTGAATTCTTCTTGCCCAAACCAAACATAATACAGTACATGCCATGGGCATGGGCAGAGATTTATAAGGGGGGAAGTAATGGTTTTTGGAGGGAAAAAGAAATGAGCAGCAAAGCCATTCTGATGGGTCTGGCGGCATGCCGTTTCCAGAGGATAGTTGTAATGTTCACTGAAAAATGAGCTATTTTTATTACTATTTGAGGCTGTTTTTACACCTTTTTAAACAAGTACTAGAAATACAGAGGTGAAACTTAGCATGCTATTAGGCTACTGTGGACGCCAATATATATTTTATTGAAAAACGATTATGACCTCTCTTCTCAATTTACACTACATTATATTGTTGCGTATCTGCTTGTTTGTTAATTTCCGGTATAAATTCTTTCCGAGGAATTTCAGCGATACAAGTCCTTTCTTAATTAAAACTAGTTTATTCTTTC